GTTGGTCTGCGAAATATAAATCTATTCGCATTTTTAGACATTTTAAGTTATAATTTGGACGTCGGACGTCAAAATATTGAATATTTTAAATTATTTTGTAGTTAAAAATTAATAAAATGTTCAGTTTTTATTTCTAAGGATTGAAAATTGAAAACAATGTTTCTCATAAGTTGTTCTAATATTTAAGATAATAATGCACACTTTTTTTTTATAAGTATTTAAAGTTAAAATTTTTACTAAATTCATCAAAATCTCAAATGTTTGCAAATTATTATGTAGTTAAAAATTTATAAAATATCCTAGACTGACAAACCGTCTCCGCTCAGAATCGTTTTTCGTATACAATGATATATCATTGAATTCAAATTTAACACCATCCACAATAGTAACCTATTGTACACCAGAGCAATATCCATTTAGCCACTTTTTTATATGCTTATTAAAATTATTATTTATTTATTTATTTATTCGTATGGCAATTATTATTAATACACTATATAAATATACAAATAAAATTATAATAACATGCATGTATACATTTATATGTGAAAAATAACATTAAATCTTTATTATCTTAAATTCGAAWTTTTTTTTATTTTGACCCCCCTCCCCTAAATGGGAGCTCATGCACATTATGTTATTCGAATAACAACATTTAGACTTTTAATAATAAGAGTAAGTGATGATTTTTTTTTAAACTTTGATTCTCATAATTAGTATTGTAGATAATAGATAATAGATACTATATTTTATTACATATATATTTTTATTTTAATAGCAGGTACATATCGATATTAACTATTTTAAACCATTTTCGGAATTCTCTTTTAAATTTCCTTGAATTTTACCTAATATTAATATAAATATTTTTTTTTGTGTTATGCCTGTATACACACAAGTTCCATTGGTAGGTAGGTCTGAGATTGAGAACCAATATTCTATAAACCAAAGAGTTGGCTATATTTATAGATTAATTTTAATTTTGCGAAAAATTCACATTGCAGATAATATTAAACGACTCAGCCAACATTATACTATAGGCATTTTTGTATATGAATCTACCTATATTATATTTTACTTCACTAACTTAGGATCTATGAGCATGTAATTGCGTCAACAAAAGCGATTTAAAGTTAGAGGTTAGACCATCTTTTAATAAATAAGTGCATCGCAAGCCCCCGATGGATAGGTACTTTAACCAGATTACATTATTCTCATAAAAAATTCCAACATCCATTCCTAAGGGATCTTATTTTTACACGTCCGATGACTCGTATTTTACCGCCCATCGAAAAGGAGACTTCACTTTTTTTTCGATTATTTACACAAGTATAAAATATATATTATATAAGAGTTGGTGTAATATATAATACGCTGTATCTCTTTATACATGTATAACTGTTTAAGGTGTAACATACGCAAACTATTTAATAAAAAAAAAATTTAAAAAACAAAACTAAGCAATTATTGCAATATTAATATTTACTTGCGGTGCAGTTGTTACCCTGGACGAGTTAACATCAATAGTCTATACAAAGTATATAAAGTAAAGATTATGACTCGAATTTTCTAAATGGCTCATAGAGGAAAAATCGTACAGAAGTAACATTTAAAATAATTATACGTAATAAGTTTATTTTTAAGAATTTTTACCGATAATAAAAATGATTGTCATTGAAATTACCTATACAATATACATACTATTCACAGTAGTATTAGCTTTTAATTCAGCAGGCCTGTGAATTTAATTCACTCAAAAAATGTTAAAATTGCAAAAATATGCAAAATGAATTTTAATGCATATACTTTATACGATGTAACAAAAAGAAATATGCGGATGCATTAAATTCACAGCTCTGGTTTTATTTATTATAATATAATGTTATGTATAGTGACGTATATATTTACTTCATGTTCAATTTTAATCTAAATTATTACAATTAACATTAATAATTTCTATTAAATTGAATAGTTAATATGTTTTTGTTATTAATGTTATTATACATGAATTCTTATATAGATGATAAAAAAAATAACATTTCATAGCTTATGAATAAAATAAAATATGTATTAAAATGTATATCACATATACGATATATTATACATGTACATGTCTCATTCTATTTATATGGGTAAGCCCATATAAATACTTATCTACTAATCCCATACCTACTTGTAGAATTATAACATATAACGAGAAAAACCATTAATGTTAGGTACCTAGGTAGGTATTTAATAATAGTATTAATGTGTTATAGATAGTACTTTAAGAAGATATACACTGAATTAAAATAATTCAATTTTTTTTATAATTTTGTTAATTTATACACAGTAATTATACTATAGCCTACCTAGTGTGTGTGTGTGGTGTGTGTGACTAAGTGGCACCGAACACGTACATCAGGTAGTTCAATTGAACTGCTTACAAAATTGAGTGGGTGTGTAAAATAATAGAGTTATATTTCCTAATTTTGCTGCTATAATTTTATTGAACACAGGAATATTATTAAATTATGGATATGTTAAACTTGTTTCTCATTCGTTTGAAGGGATGATTAGGTTAATTGCGGTGTAAGACATAAGCGCCAAAATAAGATAAGAAAAAAAAAGTCGTATCGTACAAAAGCGTCAAAATCGTATCGTTCATAAACGCCAAAATGGGATAAGAAAAACAAGTCGTATCGTACAAAAGCGTCAGAAATTAAATAACAGAATTAAATTTAAAAAACTCCAAACGCTTAATCTTAATCGACAAAATATGTATTATCTGATTACGATAGATTGTCAAATAGACAGTGGGTGACTGGGTGAGCAGTTTGTGTTATAACATATTGTTGTACCTATTTCATAATTTCGCCATTTTATTTTTATAAAAATCAATCAATTTATTAAATGTATAAAATATTGATGTGCATGTATATTATAATTTACTATCGACATTTTATTTTTATAAAAAATCAACCAATTTATTAAATCTATTAAATATTGATGTGCATGTACCTATACCTATATTATAATTTACTATCAACATAATAATATTAATATAATATAATTTTTATAAGATATAGAAATTTTTAAATAACTACCAACTTAATACTTATATAAAATATTAATTTTGGCGCAAATGATAGGTAATTTTTGTACCTTTGGCGCTTATATCATATGTTGGGTATAGCAGGTATACAATATTAGATTAGATGTTCTACAGATTTTGACGCAAATGAAAGGTCATTTTTGTACCTTTGGCGCTTATGTCATACAGCCGGTTAATTGAACGATATGAACTGACAGTTTCAATTTCATTTGGCACCACTAGATGACTATAGCTTGTCACATACAAATATACAATTGTTACTTTAAATAATCCACACTTTACTCAAATAATCATCTGATTAGTTATTAATTATTATAATTTAACGAAAAATTATCTCAAATTTACACATAAATATCAATAGAAAAGATTAACTTAATAGTTAATACATGTTGATTTTTTATATTATATTAATTACATTCTAGCATGATATATAATATTATAATAAAACATATATCTGAGTACCTATGGTAAAAATAAATAATTATAATAACATATCCAACATAAAAGATAAAATAAAATACATCTACGTAGTACAAAATATACACACAATAATCAAGTTAACATTATTGAGTATAAGTATCAGTTTGCCAAAAACTGCAGAAAATTTAATTCAACAACTAACTAAAAATTAATAAATGAATATGAATTAATGTGAATTTGTGTGTGTTTAGAATTATATTACATTACAATGATTACCCGGATTATTATAAAATATAAGGGCATGGACCAGTTGCGCCTAAAACAATATTTGTATTTTAGGTCAGTACACCAATTGCGTCGCTTAAATTTTATGCCAGTACACCAATTGCGCTACTTATATTATTTTTAGGTTCCTTATTTTTACATGGACAAAAAAAAAAAAAAATAATAAATATTTTATTTACATTGTAAGTTACTACACGGCGGAAAAAGTTACAAATGTATATACACAATTAAATATAGCTAACTAATATACATTCAAATATACTTAATTTAAAGCAAAACGTATACGAAATTACGGGAAAACACGACAAGCTGATAAAAATACCTATCCCGACTCGATGTAGCAGGGTGAAATATAAAATATTTTATTTATTATTATTAACGAACGTATTATTATAAAGTATGAATTTGAGAGATATATTACTCGTATAACAAGTTTTCATTATCATTAATGATCGTTATCCACCTATATATCTGCCTAATTTGTACATTCCACACACGGCACACACTGTCTAATGGGTACTATCATTGATTATACCTAAATAGTATTTATAATCAATGGTACTATATACATACATATTATATTTTTATATTTTTATGCATATTAATTATTTATTATTGAGGTGTATCTATGTGTATGGTTTGGTATAGATTTATATTATACAAATATTATTAATATTGACGTTCATTGTATAATTTTTTTGTATTKACTGAAAAAATCTATTTATAATACATATTTTTATAAAAGTATTTTTATATACTAGGAGTAATGTAGAATAACATTATAAACCCTGAAAACAACTGAGCGCAATTGGTCTATTGACCCAAAAAAGATAGAGCGCAATTGGTATATTAAAAGGTCATTTTAAGCGCAATTGGTAAACTCCCAAATATAAAACTCATGCAGAATAGGTATTGAGAAGGTACCTATTTATTATGATATTAACAAGGAAATAGGTAAGTGTTTTTATTTAATTCTTTAATGTATATGACCAACTTTATAATATTTTTATCATTTTATAGTTGTAAATTTATAACACTATTAGAATGTATATAAATAATAAATATATTATATTATTATTATATTGTATTGAGCATTTTTTTCTAATCATCATAATGATTAATGGTATTTAAAATTAATTATTAAACCACATAATCAACTAAAATGAAAATAGATTTATTTTAAAATAAAATGTAAATTAATTATTTAAATTGTATAATATGATGATTAAAAAATACATTGACCCATACTTTCATGCGTCGTGACTACCAAGAAGTTTGATTGGTTAATCTACGGATGATGTGAAAAGCAGATATTATATTACATTATATTTAGTTCAAAAGTAGATTTGTAGTGGGGATAAAAGGCTTTTCTCTGTATGTGGATACATCTGTCTGAACGAGCCTGCAATAAAAAGAAAAAGAAAATATATGGATATAAAAAAAGTTTTGGCATAATGATATATAATAAATTTATAGGTACTAGGTTGGTACTTCATCTTAAAATTTATACTACTAACACTAAATATAAAATAGAGTAAAAAATGTAAAAACGAAATTATATTTTATTTTTCTAAGAAAAAATTGAAAATGTGTGTCATTGGTGTGGACATTTTAAATTTTCTTTAAAAAGCTTAAATTAAAACGTAATTAGTGTAAAACTTACCCATTAAAATGTGGCGAAAATGTGACCATGTCTTTGACGTGTACTTGCGCAGTTCTAGCCCTAGCCAAAATTGCCATTACTGTTCTCTTTGATGGAGTCATTGATACTTTGGCACATTCTCCAGACAGTAGAGGACGTTTCCTTCCTGGAGTTTCCGTTAGCAAATTTGAATTATTCGGAGTCACGTGTTTTTCTACATCCAGGTGATAAATTTATACTGACTACTGATTTGCGACAAATTGTTTCTATTTTTATTATTTTAAATATAACCATAAGAACAAAAGCTTAACCACTTCCCGAAAAGGTAGATCGTTGGATACATATTTAGTGTTCTTTATTTTTCTTGTTTGGATTTAATTAAATGTTATACTAAAACAATTTTAAGGTGTAAAATACACTACCTAAGCATGAAACAGTGCAGCTAAAACTTTTAAAATAATGAAGTTAATTATAATTTTTAATTAAATGTATTTATTTTCGATAGTTTTTTTAATTACAGAATGTATACAATATACTGTAAGTTGGTACTTATAATTATTAAAAATAGGTAGCTTATGTCAAGGTGCTGATAAATTTAAAATAATCGAAACCATAAATATTAAGGTGAATTTTGTAAAATTTATTTCAAATTGTGAAACGCTCTTTTAGCTAGAGCTAGATCTCAGAAAACAACTTTTTACTCAAAGTTCCACTTATTAAGTTAGGTAAACAGTAAGCGCCTATAAATCTGTCTAAACACGGCGCGTTAAGCTGTACAAATGTTATAATACACTGTACACATATTATTTAGGTAGTGACACAAGAAATACTATTCATGTAAACTTTCGTCATTAACCAATTGATTTTAGACAAACTATTTAAATTGGTAAGGTCTACATGGCATTATAGCAGTATAAGGGTATTATTGCGTAGCAAACGTAATCATAGGCCGTTGAAAACGTAATCTTTGCACAGCTAGTAAAATTTAATGAATGTGGAGAAGTTTAGACAACGTTGTATTGAAAACTAATACTATTCAATCGTCGTGACCTTTAAGATATATAAAATGTATAGTACTGTAGGTATACGCAGCTACTATTCATATTATAATATATTACATTAAATACAAAATACTAGACGACCCGATCAGTGGCGGCTCGAAGGGAGTATATTTGAATCACGTGATTCACAAAAATATTAATGGGTGGTTGGGTGGGTAGGTCTTATAGTTGGAAAAGGTAGATTGGACCATTTTTGCAGGTTGGTATTTAAATATTAAATTATAAATAATAAATATAATTTGTGTACTCAGCAGATAATGTACAATAATAAGTAATAACTAATAACTATATTTTAGGGTGGGTGGTGTAAAAATATTAAACGTGATTCGAGGGAAAAAAAGTTCAATCCGCCACTGGACCCGATATTGTGTATCTATGTGCCCAAATTACATATTATATCGTACCTGATACGTTAATTATCGTTTGATTGGTGTTGAAATTGCTGTGTTTAGTATGCACCGGCGAGCAGTCTCCGGCTGAATGAACGGCGCTGTAATTTTGGCGATTATCGTCTACGGAATGAGACGAAGATCCGCTCTCGCCGGTTTCCGAATCGGTCGCGTCCCCCGATCCCTTCTGCAATATTTGCATTTCCCACATTTGCTCTTGTCGTATTTCATCGTTATAATCCTGTAATCGGATGAGCGGCATGTTCAGTAGTTATAAATCCAAATTTAATAATATCCGTTAACTATAAATTTCAGAGCACACGGAAGTATTAATTAACAATTTACGAATGAGTTATTTAAGTTTTAAAACCCCCTCTCATCGCACCATCCAGTAATAAAGTATACACAACACACTTTAAAATTTAAATGATTATGTAGAACTATCGTTGAAAAAATAATGACGAATAAAATGTCTTTTTGAGTTGTTAACAGTCGAGATCGTATAACGGCAAGTCAATGGGCAAGGTAAACGTAATTAAAAATGTAATGGTTTTTTAAACAAAAAATGCTACGTTTATAATATGATCTTATTTATGGTCTGGATTTTTTTCTTTCTCTCGTTTTAAAGCGGTGAACTATCGTAAACGAGTCAACTGGAATGTATTTCTGTAACCCAGTCCCACTCAATGGTATGAATAAAAATAATTGCAACGCTTGTGTAAAATCCCAGTTACCCTTTAATTCACACCACGTTTTATTCAACTACGTCGTTATAAAAGAAATATACCCAACTATTACCTATATGTATTTATTATGTTTGCATACGTATTTTTGTTACGTTTAATATGAACTAATTTTAAAATTTAATTCGATTTGATTACGATTGCGTTAATTTCTTTATATTATCATATTTTTTTAGTCTAAATCGCTACATAGTTTCAGACACCTGCAGTTGGCAATTGGTAAAATATACTGTAGGCACCTGGCGCATACTATACAATTATATGCATTTAGGTATAAACAATTTATTTTAAACCTCAAAGAATTAATGAAACCACTGATATATTGATTTATCTACATTGGTTTCCTTAAACGGCTATAACGTGCATATAGTATGGTATCAACTATTTAATCATACTTAAATAAATAAGGTTCCTATATATTGTATATTGTACATTTGTACATAAACAAAACTATGAGAATAAACTGATATCTTGAACGTCTTAACTGTTAAACAACTTTATAGGTAGTATAAAAGTTGTATATAAGCAAGCACAATATAATATCACGATTCATGTTACGAGCAAAGTGAATTCATTCGGGCATTATGCCCATAATGTTTGTCATATTCTGGTAAATTTAATATGTTTTGGTTACTATTGCTCGGGTATTATGTAGTGACAAAATTTTCTGGGTAATCAATTTTTCAGATTCTCCTTTTTTGATTTTAAATGTTTTACGATAATCGGTAGTCAACAGTTTTTAGTTATTAAATTTGATTTATTTATAAATGTATGCTAAGATGACACACTGTCTCTACGACTCAATTGCTTATGATATACAATGATTTATCATTGAATTCGAATTTAACATACATTATAATAAACTACTAGATATAACTACTCGATAACTACTGTACGGCATAGTACCCGCTTGTCCACATTTTTGGTATTTTGTACCTAACTATTTATCACAGAGAGATGAGTATCCAGTCATTACTTCGTTAGCGTCTTTAGTTAGGTATACAGGTAAAATTGTTCTGCGATGATAACGATGATCGATTACTTTACTCACACTAGTACTTAAATATTGACTGTTTTTCAATAGCAATACTGTGTTTGATTGGGACTGTGAACTATATTACGTAATATACAATTTTAGATCAGTTGAAATTACATGATTCGACTGATCAGTGATCGGCCGTATTTGTATTAGCATTTTTATTTTAAATGTCGTTAAAATAATTATTTTACTTAAGTAATATTAGAATGGGTGATTTGAAATTTTATGATGAATTTAATATTCATTTAAATGAAAAATGCATATAGTGTATGTTAAAGTGTGCTAAAATTCAACGAAATATTACAATTCAAATTGTTAAAAATTGGAACAAATGGCTATAAATCATTGAAGCACTATGATATAGAAAAATAAGACTTACAAAATTAACTGTACTAGTAATTGAAGACTGAACCAAATAATAATAAATATTATGTTTATAACGAAGTAAAATAATCCATGATGTGCATTTAAAAATTGGTCACGGAGTTACAAATAAATGGAACATGAACTGAATGCAAAATATAAAATCATTACTAACAAAGTAGTAGCAGGTAAGAAATGTTTAATGATATATTTAAATACATGTGAATTATGTCAGAGAAAAGATAAGACAGTAAAAAATAGATTAGTTGTAACACCGATGAAAATTTATTCAGAAAAATATTCCCATCGTCAAATATATTTGATTGATAAGCAAGTTCAACCTATGAAATTTTCGGTTTGCTTTAATTTACTATTTAACTAGGTATATGTTTTACATAAATCATTAACAAAAAATGTGCAAAATCAGCTGCCTATATATATATATATATAACTTGATATTTTACTACATTTGAAGCTCCGTGTATTGTGTATCTTACAGAGGTCAGTGATTATGGCGGAGAATTTATTAATACGATTATCGAAGAGTTGTGCCGTATATACGAGATGAAGTGAAAATCTTACATTGGAACTGGAAGCCATGACATTTCCAAAACCAGGACTTTATGAAATAGGCCAAACCAGAACGAAGAAAATATTCCTGCAGATTAATAGATGAAATATTAATAAATGGTGTAAGAGTCAAAAATTTGTTTTAATTATAAAAAACAGTACCTAGTTAACATCATGGAATCCAGTTTTCTTTTTATGAGGTTAGTAATGGTGATTGGAGAATTTTTATTTTTTAATTAATATTGATCCATTATGAAATTAGTAATTTGTAAAAATGGCTAAATAATCAAGTATAATAAATACTAAATTCAAAATTATAGCTATTTGTTACTTTTGTAAAACCATTTTTAAGGACCACTATCCTTATCCAGTACAAACATTTTAATAATTAAGGTCTAAGAAACTACTAGATCAAATTTTGATTTAAACACATTAAAATTTAAAAAAACGATCCACTAAGCAATATACAGTTATAAGGGAAAAGGTGAGTTCTCATTTAAAAAACAAAAGCTTATATCGTCACAAAATATTCGGTATAGTACGAACAATTTGAATAATTTTTTTTTTTTTTTTATTAAAAATAAAGTATATTTACAATCTATACATGTAAGTGTATAATGAGTAAGTGTGGTGACAGAGTAATAAGTAATATGTGAAAAAAAAAGAAAAAAGTAACAAGAGGAGGAAGGCTCCCAGCAGTGCTACCTGACCAGAAATTAGGGTTTGAGTTTATTTATTTAATGTTTTTTTTAATTTTTTTTTTTTATTTAAGTTAGATGTTGAGGAGATCTCTTGGCCATTGCCTTTTTAACCTTCTAGGAATGATGGTAGAGGATAGGCTTTTAATGATGGGGTTTGAATGAGCGCGGAGCGTTGAGTGGAATTTTGAGTAGGATTTGGCTAGGTCGTTAAGGGTTGGCATGTTCAGATCTTTATGGAGGTTWYTATTGGTAACATACCAAGGGGCAGAGGTTATTAGGCGTAGGCATATGGACTGGAATGCTTGGAGGGTTTTGGTGTTTGATGGTTTTGCTGGCCCCCATAGTTGGATGCCATAGAGCCAAGCCGGGCGGATTATCGATTTGTATATCGAAAGTTTTGATTTTAGTAGGGGTCTCAGAAGATGAAGTCTGGAGTTCGCTGAAATTTGAATAATTTAAAATTTAGGTATTCAAATATATTTAGAAATTCCAGAAATCAGAAAAATTGAATAATTTAATTATTAAAGGAAAATGTGGGGGTAAACATGCTCTGTATAATATTACTTTATTTTTTTAACATTCATATAAAATAAATAATTGTACATCTATTAATTGAACAAAACCCGTTTCATACATTTTTCTTTACATTTTCCTACTATGTTTTGGTCATTTTGTACAATGTCCAGGCAAAGAGTATAATTTTCCACATTGTCCATTGAAATTGTGCGTTTTATACATTTCTCAGGCATTGTATTACAACGTCCAATAATACACTTTGACCGTAATATACAATAATATATATAATATATATATTATATTATAAATTAAGCTTAATATGATCAAAGGCTTTAATATTGTAATTTTAAATGGATTGATATTTAATCAGAACTAACTATAATATATTCCTCATCATGGTTTTTATTAATAATACTGTAAGGATAATAAATAATAATATAATAACAAATGTATAAATCATTATACATATACCACCATATACCACCATATACCTCATGCAAATTAATTTAATTTAATGTACACAATTTTATGAATTCAATATTTGATTTATAACATCATTCATAATGGTATATATTATTTAAATTAAATTCACAATTTTAGCATAAAAATACTTTTTAAAACTTACCGGTACTAAAAATCTTCGGACTTCTGTTAATGCATATGCGATACGGGCATGTGCTTCTGCTGGAGGAGCAAAGGCTGTTATTTCAACATGAAGGTCGTCTCTGAGGTGAGAAAATTTTGGATCCCCGGAATTTCTTAATTTTTCTTCCTTAAAACGAAATATAGGTATATAAATAATATTATTAAATACTATTAACAATTATTTTCATTTTTTTATTTAAATATTAAATATATTCAATCTGTTTACAACAAAAACAATTAGTAATAAAGAGGAAAAGATAGTGTATATTATACATTTACAAAAATAACACATGAAGAGGAAACTATTCAATAACAAACCTCAAAAACAATAAATTAAAAATTAAATTGCATACAACGTTAAGTTACGGTTTTTTTAGTACTTCAAGTACTAAAAAAAACGTAGTACTTCTATGAAGTAATTCAATAATATGCATTAAACACAATTTATAAATTCAGTTAAATTATAACGTATAAAAATATCTACACGGAGTATCGTCGTGTTTGTCTAAGTTACTCAAACACAAGAACTAACCGCCTAACCACATATACTTAAAGTCTAGCATTTTACTATTTAATTAAGCTTAATGGAAATGAATAAGTTGAGTCTTAAATTACATGTTTCTATAGACTAGACATTTCAGATTTTTAAGAAACATAATATTAAAACTAAAATTGTATTATTAATTAATTTATATACGAACACAAAAATGGTGAGACTACGCGAATCTTTGTCAATATATATATTGTTATATTCTAAAAGATTGCATTGCATGTAGGTAATTTGCTAAAATTTATTTTTGATAAACAATGTTTAGTTCATTAAAAATAAAAAATAAAACAATAATTTTGTCTGCAATGAAAATAGATTTAGAAATATTTTTAAATGTGTGTAATATGTTGAAAGACAGTTTGATAAAAAAAAAAAAAATATTATCACGATAAATAATTAAGACTGTCATATTGTTTTTATAAGTTATGAGTTATATTGCTTATTTCTAACAATAATATATAAAGAAAACAAAAATTTTAGTACAAAACAAATTGTTCTAAAAGATAATCACAATGATGTCTAGGAAACATTGTTGAAAATGTTTATTTCTGATAGAAATAGTGAACTACTGAAGGAATCTATATTATATAATAATATATAATATTATATACAAGACTAGACAGTAAGTTTTAAGCCCTACATCAAAAGCTTTCTGTTTCCTTACACGAACAAACTTTTATGTATCTACCATTACTTCTAGTAGTCATATTGTTCATGATATTTAAACTTATTATAAACTCACTTTTACACTTAAGACTTCATAGTTATATCTTACTTGCTAAACTTCAATAGTTCATTTTGAATAGTAGGATATAAATAACATATCTTTCTATTACTAAGTATCATATTTAAATATTTAATATACATTATTAATAATTATAATTAGGTACAGAACACTTTTTTTGTATATGACACTAGCCAGCAGTAGATACCTAATAATAATATAAATACAAATGTATACAGCAAACCTACACCCATGATTACATATATTATTAAACATTTAAGACAATTTAATATTTATACCTACTTTATTTATTTTGATTACAAGATTATAGGTATGTATACAGTCGTGAACACATAGATACCTATACTATTTATATTAAATACATATACAATAATATACGTATCGATTCTCTATAAAATATAATTTAACTAATCATACATAGACGGTATGTATAAATAATATACAATTTTTATATTCAGTATATTATGTGTAATCAGGATAGAGTGAGAAGGTGGCAGCGTTAAGGGCGAAATAGTGCTGTACCCAAGGGGAAAACATTTTACGATTCATTTTGATACTAAAATATTATTACTATAACAGTATAACAACACTAAAACAATATTATTCGCAATTTATTTTAATTTATTCGCCACTTTGAAACCAAGTGACTAATGATCAGGTACTCTTTATTCAAATATTTGTTGTATCAAAATGTTGGACTACCCAAATTTTATTTTTAATTGATGTATATGAATCGAATTTATGTGTATATTTTCATTACACGTAGTGTAGTGGAAATTGTTTTTAGAGAATCCTGGTTATTTATTGATTTTTTTATTATTATTATTATTTTTTTTTTTTTTGATAAATTCAATTTTCTAAGGCATTATTCAATGTTTTATAATATTTTTCATAATTTATTTTTGAATCAAACGTAAATTTTGTAGTAAACCACGTGTATTTGTAATAAAAAATAGCATATTGGTAAAAGTACAAAGTCGTCTGTAAAATGTCTAGAAGATATGGAGTACTCATCGCCCGCCGTTTTCATTTCTACAAATAATTAAAGAGGTGATAAAAATTAGTGTCTTTTTTTAGTATCTCCTGAAAAAAAAACTTCACTTTAATAGTATAATATAGTTTTCAACACATTTCCGTTGTATATATTTTTTTTTACTGTAAATTATATATTTATATTCTGAGTGTTACTGCCGGGTAACTTCTCTCCTCATATCCTAAAGTCTTTGTGTAATATATTACATACATGATACATGTGATTGCCATTATAGATTGTATATAATACAATTAATATTTAAAAAAATATATTTATAAATTTTTATATGCTTTTTTAAACTGCATATTTTAAGACTCAAGGCATACTTGTATTTTTCGGGGCATTAAATTCTCAGCCCTATTAATTATTAACTTATTAATTAGTTATTCTTAATTATAATAATAATTAATAATATATTGTTGTCATAAATAATTATTAATTTGAGTACTATAATTTATAATAAACAAACTGTAATACTTGTCACCTGTGCAATTTTGAAACCACTTTATACCTATTCGTAAAAAATGTTTCTAATAGCTGGCACCTGACAATAATATATTATATACGAATATGGTTTATAGGTATCCCGAATTTATTTATAAGTAAGATAAGTGTATCACTTGGGAGGTGCTTTATATTTGAAACTTTGAAAGTAAGATAAATCAATGCATTCGAAAAACATCGTTTTTCGAGGCTTTACTTTTACTAGAAAATGATCAACATTTTTTGGAGTATCCTTTAAGAATTTAAAACTTCTTGGCTCATTCAATAACAATATATGTTCAATTTTTTAACTTTTGAAGCAAATATCATAGCTAAAAGAAATTATGGGTAGGTACCAACACAAAAAATAAAAATAAATTTTAATAAAGTATAATAAAATAAGCCATTACATTATTTATACATAATTACGGTGATTAAAAAAATTACCTTTATATGCTATAAAAAAAACTAATACACTCGCTTCTATAAGAATATCCAATGTTTTTAACGAAAATATTTTTATTTTTATTTTTTCTGCTGTATTAGTGTATTATATTTTATTTTATTCATAAACGTATGATTTATATACTTGGAATACATATGTATTTTAAAGTAATTACTTAAAAGTTAAAAGATAATTTTGGTTATCTCGTTCTATATTTTTTTTTTTACTCAGAATGCACGAAGGCGTAAGTAGGAACCTACATTAGCGATTAGCCAGCCAGAGGGGCACATTTGCACAGTATAAGTGTGCAACACTATTAAGTACTCTATAAATACGATTGTTTGTCATAATAAAATGATTATTTATAACTCTAAAGGTATAAAATATAAATTACTAAACATTAAAAAAATCAAATCTGTGTATCTGAAAGTTACACATAGCTTAAATTTTAAAACAATATTTATTATCCATATAATATATAAATATAAAGTATACATTTCTAAGGCTATGTATTTATATGTCATATGTAGGTATATATATTTATCAAATTATGTCTAAAGTCTATACACCATACCATAATAAATAATAAATCCACCTATTATAACACTGTAAAAGAAACATGTTATCAATAATATCCACTGTTTGTCATCGACAGACTTTTACATAAGTTTATTAAAATTCTCAATAAATAACGTTAAATCCTATGTACAACGTATAAATGCCGTATGAGTTTTGATTAAAATTTATAACATATACCTATTGTGTACCAGCACCCATAAACCTATATAATGGTGCTACACGTAGGACATGTAGGTATTTATAGTATAGTTAACAGCGTACAAAGCAATATGTTATGAATAAAATATTGTTAAAGAAAGGACCGAGATTATTTGTTACGATATTATTCATTTATATGATATCATATTATACTGAATGTGATTTTATGTACGCCCCGGAGGAATTGCTGCAGTTTTCCGTCTATACAGTTCTATTATAAGTATTAAGCATACTTTTACATCATATTGGTTATTATAATAATCGACCGGCACATCGTAGTCCCTATAGAGGGGATGAAGTTCGGCGATAAAAATGGAACGGAAGAAACAGCGCACTAGTATATGGTGTAATGTGTATACGAGTAAAATATTATGTTATGTATTAATGTTATATATTCGAATACATGTAGCAATTCATACGTGAAAATCGGATTCATCACGTGCATGTGAAATCAACCATGTATATCGTTTAACTATAAAAATTCGTAACTGGAAAAATAGCTTTGGGTTTCGGGTTAAATATTGTCGCAAAGAATCATACGTTTACCTATTTCGTCTTAAAGCTGTAGTTATTTTCAATTTCACCACAGTACGTTTGGACTAGTGATTTGTGGATATACATACTGCTCAAGACTCCGGGAGCAAATTAAAACGTGTGTCAGAAAAACGTTTTGTCCCACTAGCTGTTGACACGCTTATATACACAGTAGTTAATACAATTTCCCATCTTATACCCTCAGGTAATCAAGCGTATTTGCGTATTCGTCTTTCTCAACTGAAGCGTGCACGTGATCAGCACACAATATTATGTATATTATGTTTATTTAAATCTATGTATGTGTTTGACGCACCCGATTTTACGCATATTATACATAAGTTGATGATATCTAAACTTTCGTGGACTAGCATAGAGTATAATATTATGTACGACGTAGATACGTATAAGTTCTATGTAATAGCTATATTAATTGTCTACTCTAACCAATATCCAATAAATAATAATAGGTTCTAAGTCTTAAGAACAATAATGCGATTACCTTGTTCCGATCACGCATAGATCCACGTCCAAGTATGGCCATTTTCGTTATGGTGTCTTCTTGTAATCTCTTCAATGAGTTGCCTTTTGGTCCCAATAATTTCCCCACAAAATTAAACTAGAAATATAAAATATATATATAAGATGTAAAAAATGTTTTCATAATTATTTGTATTAATTTCAATACATAATTACATTAAAAAAATCGCATTTTAGTATCATTCTTGTTTATGAAAATATAAATTAGTTTATAAAACATACAAACGTAAAAATAGTTCTTAACTCAAAATAAAACAACGAGGGAATTTATTTCTACTGCAGTACAGTAGAATTCAAATGTATTAATTTGAGCCATTTTAATAGATTAGTTAAATTTGGATTAAATGTTAAATAAACCAAAATTATTGATTCAATAAGACGATATTTTTCAAAAATTAAAACGTCTAAAAAAATGTGCAAAAAGAGCAAGAGTATTTTCAATTTATTTTATGTATGCTGATATAAATATGAGATCAATGGCTTACATTTCAAGTTTTGAAAAAAAACATAACAAATTTCATATAAAATCATATCAAAAACTGATGTGCAACGTTTTTCCACTGATTTTCGTTAATTATTTCCAATTAAAGTTCTAAAATTCTTCGTTTTGACTTTCCCCCAAAGTATTAACTAAATCAAATATGCATTACAGAAAAAYTCAATGTATTTATGATTGAATCAAATATTTTATTTCAAAAGGTAAATACTAACAAAAAGTAAAAAAAAATTCATAATCAATACATCACACATTTCGCTCAGTTATAACTTATTATGCTCAGCTATTACTCTGAATTCTGGGATTCTTAATGCAAAATAACACACAATTTATACGCAATAATATTACAATATAACATCTTGACATATTATTCCTAAATACCAAAGTAATATTCACCAAGCATGCTCACTTCCATTTTTTTTTTATTTAATATTATATGTATTAAAATTCTGATTTTTGAAATTTTTAAATATACCTACTTAGAGCATATTTTCAAATTTTTGAATTTTTTTCTTTTATTTAAGGAGTGTCATGGGGCGATCTAAACTTTAGTTTTTCAAATAAGAACCCTTTCCTTCACCGCTATAATATTATTATTTACTATTTAGTAGATAATTTTTTTTTAAATTTTTTTAGTAGGTACCTAATTCGAAATTTAAAAAAAGTAGTTTTTCATTTATTAAAATATTTATATTAAGGATAATAGTCCTTAAAATAGTTCTTAAATAATACAAAGTAAATATAGTATTTGATTTAGTATTAATTGTACTTGGACCATTTTTATAAATTATAATAAAATTACTACAATTTTCAAATACCTGGCTTAGAGCCGAACCCATTGTCATCATGGATCTATTATCCTTAGTACTCAAAATTAAATTTCACAAAAACTACTCGTTTGAATTTTGTTTTTGTACTTCAACATTTTCAGAACAATTACCTACTAAATAATTTACATTTTAAAAGGGTGGAAGTCATTTTAAAAATAGACGTTTGAATGCAGACAGGACACTCCTAAAAAAGTAAACAACAAATCTCAAGAATTTGAAAATATGACTGTTAAGTAGGTAAATTTAAAAATTCCAAAAATAATATTTTGAATAACTGAACATTCGAGGAAGTAAACGGGCTGAGCATGAATAGTGAATCATTCTATATATGGTATATGCACTATTGGTTTGTACTAATGTTATTCTTGCATTAAATCACATTATATATTATGTTTAAATTTAAAATTATAACTGATAAAACAAGTAGCAAAATATAATACATTCATATAATATATTTATATTTTATACGCTTAATATGAATTAAGTATCTACCTGCCTATCGTTTTTGTATGGAATAATACATTTTATACCTACCGTTAGCATAAATATTCGCCTTATAAGACTGCCTTATTCCATAACGAGCTCAGGTGTTCTAACGAGCGTAGAGTCTTTTATGAAAATAAAATTTGGAGGGGGCTAATGTATAACATACCCGGATTCACTAACGATGATTATCTTATACGATATTCTGTTTACGTGCTAAGTATATTATACATGTATATTGTATATGTATCTATATCTATATTGTATATTATACATTATACACTTTGCTGATATGTGAAGTACTAAAGACTAAACTGATGTGTGTTTAAGTGAGGGGACACATTCGATATAGTTGATTAAGTTGTCTACAGACTACAGCTGTGTGATCTGCAATTAATTAACTTAAAGTAATTTAATTTTCTTTAAATAACCATTGATACTGCAACACTGTTAAATACGTAGGTAGTTCATCAATTAATTACAAAATATTAACTGAAATTGTTTTAAGAATGCCTATATGATATACGGATATAGCTAGTATACTCGTATATTATAAAATATATTTAGTATTCTAGTATATACCTAATAAGTACATAATTACTAATTTCTATATTAAAATTTAAAAAGAATTCGTGATCAAAAATAAGATGTATAATTTTCAGTGGTTTCCTTTTATACACATATAAATATAAATCCTAAATGTAAAATCGAAATTTCGATGAAATGCGGGAACATTAATAAATTCCAACAATATCGATAGGGTGCAGTCATAAAATCTTGTTATGGCCTATCACCCATATCAACATTACAATATCGTCCAATGCATTGAAATATGGTAATACGTATACATTTTACATTTAACAGTGGYTGAAATATGAGTATAAAATTGTACACTGTTCCTAATCATGAGCTACCTATTTGTTCTATTTAGTATTTTCCATAATACTAAATTCAATATCTAGATAAATTTTATAGCAAGTATTATCTATAATAAAACCTAAAAAAAATAATAAGAGTATTAAATCGTTTAATGATTTGGTTGCGGTGTGTATTGATATGTACACAATTTTGGGAATAAAACATCTTATTTATAAATTATATTAATATCTAAAACCCGTCATAAATATTGATACATCATATTTATATACTAGTTACTAGCATATATTATATATAGTTAACGGATTAATTATAATCTAAAACATGTATAATAACTAATAAGTATTTCCTTCATCAAATTGTAAATTATGAATCCCTAGTGCATACCTTTGGATGGTCTCTTACAGGCACAGCTACCCTGATGGAAACTTTAATTGGTTTGTCACGGGTTATGTCCACCATTCGACGAATACCCTCCGATTTTCCTCCATTCCTAGTTTCTATAATTATAAGAATACCTTTTTTAAATTACTACAGTTATTATTAAACTAACATTGAYTAATGATTTTTATATTTTTACGGCAGTAAATGCATAAMAATTAACAATTTATATTTTTAGCGAACAAGGGAGTTATTGGCATAACAAAAACATTATAGTTACGTATAATCTATAAAATATAATAAATATATTATACTTTAMGTTGTTTAAAAAGTAATTGAAAAGTTTTATCTAGCCCTGTCAATCCATTGAACATTTAATAAATATAAATAATAGTAAAACACTATAATATTCAGAAATCAATTTCAATTACTTTTTTTTACTTTAAAGTAAGCAATAAATACGCTTTTAATGAATATGGTGCTAAAGTCAAAAACAATAAAATGTACGATTCTCGTTTAAACCTAAAAACTTTAACAATTTTGGATAATATGAAATCTGACCGTAAACGCTTTTTTAATTCAATGACTACTAACATCGTTTTTTTTCTAATTTCATATTATAATAAAATACTCTCTAGTCTCTGGTTTACACCGATGCGAGCAAAGCAATATGAGTTATGGGTAGGTAACGGCTAAGAGTGCCCATCATACTCCGTCACTTTATTCTGTGCTTGTCTACTTCTAACTGTGATTTTTATCAATTTAACATTTACACACCTATATATAATGACGAGTTAACATTTAAAAGTTTTAAATTAAATTTGTCACTTGTAGGTGCGATCAGCTTTTATCGTTCAACACCGTGTTGGCGAATATCCAAAATGTAATACTGTGCCAGGTACAGAACGTTAGTTTATGATTACGACCATCGTAAATTTGACTTTAACACGCTAACCCGGCGCTACAATAACTATTTAATGCTAAAATATGAGACAAAATCGTTATTTTTACTCAATACATACGATGTCTAAGACACGATAATAATTGAATGCGATTATCTATGGTTGTAATTGTTATGCCATATTTTTAAATTCATAATATTGCTATTCTTTTTTATTTTTGTTTAGTAAGCTATATTTTGTTTTTGTTTTTGTTATTGTAAACAATTCATTAAAAATATGTTCAAATAATTATCAATTATAAAGATAAAGATAAAAAAAAAAAACAAATACAGTTACAGTAACTTAATTTAATACTCAAATAAATCGTTTAATTTTTAATTTCATAAAATTACCTGATTGAGAACTTAATTTAAGATTTTCATTTTTATTGCAGTGGAATTGATTCTCGTCGTCAACTTCTACAATATCCATATCTGACATGATAGCGATAAATCATCCGTTTGAAATTATATTATACGTAAATATTTCGGTGAATTAATCACTACAATCGTTCAAGACCTGAAATATCGAAAGCTTAGAATTTAATTTTATAAAAAAAAAAAAATGTTCTACCTATTGCATATTATTGTGCTTCATAGTATATGAAAAACGATTGAGTGAATATTTATTATTTATTTTGAAATAGTTGTAAGTAATAATAATATGTATTAAATATTTAAATATATTCGATAATATAAATTCTTTCATGACTTATAGTAATAGTAGCACATATAAACAAGCTCTAAATACTAACAAACTAACTTACAGGTTACATCGCGAGATTTAAAATAGTTGTGAGTCCTGCCATAAATTATTTCATCATTGATTGTTCTCACTATGTATCTAATGCATTAAGTAAAAAATATAATGAAAAATTGAATCTATTATCTATGACAGGTTTGATGGTGCTGTGGCCTGTAGTAGGCTACATTTCCCGTCTGAAATAGTTATCGACTTTGATGTTTAGTGTTTACATATCATAATATATACTCTAGATTTTAGACTATAATATATTATAGCCCTGCTAACCGTTAACATATATATTGCTCGAACATCTTAATATATTAGGTATACTGTGTATGATTGAATGCGCTTGTACATTATATATAAAACCTATTTTAGATACTTAAGTGATTGATGATTAATTAGGTTAGATCTCTTATATCATTTAGACACCTAAATTCGATGATTGTATAGTAGCAGCCATATGACAATGGAATTATTATTACGACAGCAATATTATATTACTCGTATAATATGGTATATGAAATAAGAAGTAAGCTCCTATTGTTACTTACTTACTTAATGTTGAAAACTAATTTTCATAAAAATTTAATAAAATAATAATTAGTGTCTATTTTCGTTTTATAAAAATTTTAGTTTTTTAAAAACTAAATAAGCTTATGTATTATAATATTTACATTAGGTATTATTTTGCATACAAATTTAAAAATCCTATTATCTTTTTAACCATCACTTAATAACTATAAATCTAAAAAAATTTACTGTGTTCTAATTATATATTTAAACTCATTTTCAATTTTATAATACAATTTTATAAATTATAAGTTATAGTGATAAAAATAATATTTTTGTTGTGTATTCTTATTCGTATTTGCATCAAAAACTAGAGTAGGTAATAACACGGACAATAGAAAATAAAGACAATAGATAATATTAAAAATATATGATAAATATAATACTATGATACGAAGGTATTTTTTACATAATTGATACTGACTTACCAAATAATACGATATATAATGTAATATCCTCGAGAGTATGTTTCAAGTGATATAATTCCGTTGAAAAGTTAAACCTATACTAAACTTTATGAAAGGGCTGCTTTACGTTTACCCTTGTTGTTGCGACGATATTAACGCTATCTAGTGATATAATAATTTAAATCTTAATTTATAAAATATATAAATGCAATTTAATCATTGATATCATTAGGACACAAAGGATTATATAAAGCACTTCACAACTTTCAGTGACACAGCTTATAAGCATCCCATATAATAATTTCAAAACCCAGGGCATTATGAAATACACTAACTGAGATTAAATATAGTTAAATTTGTAAAGTTGACGCTTTTGATAAACCTAATGTGGTTATTCATACAAAAATTTTAATTTTAATTAAATTTAAATATTTGAAAAACACAAACATAAATAGTATGTGTCTAAAAATGTATGTTTACAAATATAAAATTAATAAATAAATAAGGTTCGATCAACAGTCGTAATTAATCTCACGACTAAAATAATTTTATTTTGTTTAGTATAAAAACAAAATATAATTTTCTAATATTATATTTAGTGTTCAATCTATCACATCTAGGGTTGCTAGACGGATATGTTTAACAATATAAAGTAAATTGGCACCTACCGACAATACCTACTGTAAAATTACAGAAACTACAGCTAATATCAATGCTAAGATCAACGCTATAAATATTATAAATTACACATGTAAATTTACATATATTAGATATATAGTTATATGATTGAAATTATCTACCTAATAATAAATCATTGTAGATATTCTAAAATATATTTTTAATGGTTTAATTTTAAATTATTTTTTTTTAAAAGATAAGATAAGTTTCAGTGAACTTAAGAAATATACCTAGGTAACTTAATGAAACTTTGAAATTATATTTTTATATTTTRTATACAAATTAGCAGGAAAATCAATTAATTGAAAGTTTTCATTAGTATCTATCTAGACTATAGTGGTTCCCAACCTATGGTACACGAGACCTCGTGATGTGGTCCGCGAGCCATACCTACAAAATTTAGTAATAGTAATTTGTATTATATTAAATTGTTAATAAATGTAAAATTTTTACCGACCTAATTAAAGTATTTAGTAGTATAATTATATATAAAAGTATAGTAATAAAAAGTAAAGTAAAATAATAAAAATTAACATTTTTCGATAAATTTTTGTTAAAAAAAAGGTTTTCCTAGTTTTCGTAAAATTGAGGTGGTCCGCGACCTATAAAATATAGTCGAAGTGGTCCGTGGTGGTAAAAAGGTTGGGAACCACTGGATTTCTAGAGTATAATGCCAATAAAATTATTATTTTTTTTTCAAACACTGTATCAAACGGTAAATTAATTTACTATTTACGATGAATTAATGATTATATATTTTTTTAATTTTATCTCAATTAACATGGCTTCAGGTAACTAGTGTATGCTTGTAAATAGAGTCTTGTTGCAACTTCGATTTTAACTGGATAATAATTGTTTTTCTTAGGGTAATGGATAACTACTACCAACTGCGATAAAAAAAAATTGTGATAAAACGTCAGAAACACAATTCAAACCAATCTCGATTCTCGGCATAGAATTCGTTTTTCTATAATAGGTACAATAATTTATCATTGCTTTTAAATTTAATATCTCAACACGTTTCTATTTTACACTGAGGTGAGTGTAGCGTGACGAACACCTAACACCCGTTCTTTGTATCCTGTCCAGCTTTTTTAAAGTATCATTTATTATATCTGATTTCAGAAACTCCAACAACTATACTGCACTATACTTTAGAAGCACTCCTAATATCGATAACAACGAACATTACCTACTTAGACCATTGACTTGATAAATTAATATATGGCAAATATTATTGCACAAGTACCTAACAGCTTATTCGTGTCACACATAACAGTCAGGACCCAATGTATCAACATTTTTTAAATTATTTATACAATAGTTAAGGGATCTTTATGATGTTATTGGTTTTCAAAAATATAAAATTTCAGATTTGGTTAATACCAGTTTTAATTCTCTTTACAAGACTTGATATTTATTAATTTTTTTAAATTAAGTTTTGCAGTGTATAAAAATACTGGAATTGTATTATGAACTTTTATTGCCAGTTAATTATAGTTGAGTGTTTTTCAAAATTTAGGTTATGTATTATATATTTATTTAATATCATTAGAATTATTACTAAAATTAGAAAAATATATAATTATATTTATGAATGTTCCACTTTATTATAAAATCCTAAACAGAATAGGAATTGAAAAAAATTATATATTATATAAATAGAATTTTCAAGTTTTTGAATAATATGATATCCAAAAATATAATACAATTTCAAAGACGTATTTTTTATTTTTGTTCTTTGGTATAAGAATTAAGTTTTTTGATGTAAACTTTAAAATGGCCTTAATATAAAATCATTTAAAGTTTGTTAGTACATTTTATTTCTATTGAAGCTGTGTTTAAAAACCATTAAATAAAATTCTACACAACACTAGAAGACAGAATTAAACGAGTTGTGAATTGTTTTGATATGTTCCTTTTTTTATTGTGCCTAGCTATTGTTCATTCTTAGTGTCTCAAAAAAAAAGTCACCAAGCTATGTCATCAAATATAATATACTCTTTGAGTTTTTTTTTTAGTCCCTGAGCAGTTATAAGAATAACTCCTTCATTTAAAAAGAAACTCATTAAAAATATTTTTTAAATAATATTGTTTGTTCATGCCCGTAAAGAAACGGTTGGATAGGGAATATCGAAATTTAAAATCAAATTTCAGAGTAAAAATTAAACTTTATTCAGTGGATAAAAATATAAAACCAGTATTGATCGATTTAGTTATGAATATAAAATAATAATTAACTCTTAATGTAGTGATTTTCTTCTATTCAATAAAGGGGAATTATTTAGTTCAGCATTTTAATTTTTAGTATTTTTCAAATGGAATGTATAATTATTGATTTCCTAAGGTCAATATTATTTTAACGACAACCATTATACTGTAGATGTATTTAATAAAAAACAGGGTTTATTCTTGCATGAATTTTGTATAATGATTTTTATTGTCCGTATTGTATACACCTATAACATTCATCTTTGAGCTTTCACAACTTCACCCTTTGTTTATACATCATTTTTAAATAATTATAAGCATACAAATATTACATTCTAAAAGGGATATTTTTCTAATTGTTCATAACAATAAAATCTTTTGACCTTAAAATAATTAACCAAAGGATCAGTTGTATTAATTATTTATTTCCTTATTTGAATAAAACAACACATAATTTTCTATAGAATATTTGTGCAAAGTTTATAATACTTTCACATTTACTTGATTGAATTATTCTACATTATTTTGATTTCTTATTTCTTATTTTTATAATGGATAAGTATCGAGAATTGATTAAAAGCGCTTCTGTTCAATTCCACTAAAATAATAACTTATATATTATTAATATTTACTATTATTAGTTCTAGTTATAAATATCAACATTAGGTATACATTCATGACTCATGAGCCATATAAATATTCATTTAAGATACAAATTTGGGTATACTCGGAAAATTTATTTTGATTTTTAGTAAAAAATTTAATCTGTTATAATTGTTAAATTTCATTACATTTATCATTGATTTTAGAATATTCTATAATCAATGCTCTTATATAATTGATAAGTCATATTGTAGACATTACATATGTCATTTTAAAGAATTCATTAGTAGAGAAATATTACCTGTCAAACTTATAAGTTATAATCAGAGGCGTCATTTCAGGTTTTTTTTCGGGTGTGCGAAATTTCAAGCAGGCCATTTTGAAATTTCACCAGGCCATATAAAAATAGATATACATACGTATACGTATATGTATATTATCCTGCAGCATTCAATTATTTCCATACATTATAGACCRGTTATTACAATTTGATTTTAATCATATAAATAATTGTGCATTCGTGGCTCGTGCATTATTTTAGGCTTCAGCAAGGTGCAGGCCAATTATAGCATTCTAAAAGTAAGGGGTGCAACCGCACACCCTGTCACTCCCCCAAATGACGCCCCTGGTTATAATGACATACAAAGATGAGTAACATTATGAGAGGTTGTTGTGGTTTCTTGAATAATAATATTTATACCTTGTATTTGGTATTTAAAATAAGATTAAAATCAGTTCTAATTTAAATACCCACTGATATAATTTTATATTGTTATGTAATAGTCAGAATAGGAGTCAAGACCTAAGATTAGAGTGGAAAAAGGATAATTTTCCATTACTTGTCTAATATCTACATATTTAAAATTTAATTGTGTTTGATGTAAAATAAAATAATAATCATACAATATTAAAATATACTATTGGTGATTATACTAAAATATATAAATGTACTATACTTGTTTAAATTAATATTAATTACAAATAGCTAAATCAGAATAAAAAAAATGAAATTGTTCCAGATAAAAGAGCTTCACCAAAAGTAATAGCCTCCCTTATATTATGACCATAATCCGGTCTTAGCTGACTTTATCCTTTGGGCTATGTCTTAAAGGTATCAGCTAATTGCTATAATCTAAATACATTTATAGGTACAGGTCAAATTATAGAATAACTTAAACAAAAAGGAAATAATAAAAAAATTATTTCATACAATTTTTTTTCCACCATGTACCTATGATTCAAACTTTGTTCAATTTGTTATTTAATATCAAGTAAAAGAGTGCAGTTTAAAACTTTAGAAGAAAAGAAGTAAAGATGTAATTTTAAAATCAGCGGATATTGAAAAGTAACTTTTTTCTTTCAGCTGATCAATTGCTAGCAGAAATAAACAAATAAGCGCGCGGTGATGAATGATGATTTAAATAGCTATTATGTCATTATAAAATAACTGATTTAATCTATTATATCAAAACATTTTTGTACAGCGAGCCACATATTATTTTCTATTGATCTAAACCTTTTTTGAATCGTCAAAATATATCGATTAGTTTTTTTTAATCTATAAGTAATTTTATTATATTATTATATTTATTGTTTTGTCTTAGGTAGCT